CTCTGGTCCTGGCCCTGGACCCAACCTCCCCCCCTGGTCCTGGCCCCAGCCCCCCCTCGCCCCGCTGGCCCTGGCTCTGGACCCAGCCTCCCCACCCCCGGCCCTGGCCCCAGTCCCCCTCGCCTTGGACCCTTTGCTTTCGTTCGTCGTCGTCTCTCTGGTCCTGGCCCTCGCCCCCGTCCTCCTGCCCTGGCCCTGAACCCAGCCTCCCACCTTGGCTCTGGCGTCCCCTGGCCCTGGCCCCAGCCTCCATCGCCCCAGACCTTTTATTTTCGTGGTTCGTCGTCGTCCCCCTGGCTCTGGCCTGCTTCCCCTGGCCCCCTCGCCCCCGTCCTATTGCCCTGGCCCTGAACCCAGCTTCCCTCCTTGGCTCTGGCGCCCCCTGGCCCCTCGCCCCAGACCCTTTATTTTCGTGGTTCGTCGTCGTCCCCCTGGCTCTGGCCTGCTTCCCCTGGCCCCCTCGCCCCTGTCCTCTTGCCCTGGCCCTGAACCCAGCCTCCCTCCTTGGCTCTGGTGCCCCCTGGCCCTGGCCCCAACCCCCCTCGCCCCGGCCCTTTTATTTTCGTGGTTCGTGGTTTGTTGTCGTCCCCCTGGCTCTGGCCCGCTTCCCCTCGCCCCCGTCCCCCTGGCTGTGGCCCGCCCCCCCTCGCCCCCTCGCCCCAACCAGGACCTCTGGCCTCTGGTCCGGGCCCCAGCCCTCTGGCCCTGGCTAAACTCAGCTTGTTTCCTGGCCTTGGCCCCGCTCGCCCCGACCCTGGCCTTCGCCCCAGCCCTCCTCGCCCCGAACCGTTGTACTTTCGTGGTTCTAACCCGGACCTCTGGCCCCTGGTCCGAGCTTCAGTCCCCCTGCCCCAAGTTCGCTTGGCGTCCATTCTCGCCGAGCTTCCCACGAAATATGTCGTGAGCCAGAATTAACCAGCCAAGCACATATTGGACGCGTCAAAAAGCGGCTGACATGTGTGCCGCCTTGAGAACGAACAGGCTGCGGGATTGGCGAGGACGATGGCGTGAAAATCGCTGCCTGCTGCCGCTTTCCTCCGGATCCTCCCCCTTTTCCCCCCTCCAACTTATGGTGGTGGTGGTGGTGGAAAACAAGCCCATCAGCCTGGGCCGCCCACCCTGCACCCCTGCCCTGGCCCCCACCCCCCCTCCCGCCCCACCTCCGCCCCACCCCACCCCCACCTCCGCCCCCCCCTCCCCCCCACCTCCCCGGCCGCCCCCCCCTGCGCCCCTGCCTCCGCCCCCCCCCCCCTCCGCCCCTGCCTCCGCCCCCCCCACCCCCCCCCTCCGCCCCTGCATCCCCACTCCCCCCCCCCCCCTCCGGCGAAAGCCAGGAGCGACCCCGGGCAGGAGCGCCCTCCGGCGCGCGGCTCCACCATCGTCGTGCCTCCCCAAGGACTGTTGTGGTCCTTCGGGGGGCACGACGACGGTGGAGCCGCGCCTCCCCAATGAAGGGCTAGAACAGTCCTCAGGGAGGACTCACAAGAGTTCACGGCGCGAACACGTTAGGGTTAGGTATGATGCCCAAACATGGTCGCGCCGTGAAAACTTCAGGCCCGACAGGCTGCATCGTTTTCGGCCTGATCGCGCCGTCAAACAGAAAATTCAGGCCCGATGTTTTGCACCGTTTTCGGCATCTGGAGGCCCTCGCCGGGCCCTGGGGCCGTCAGAAATGGCTCAGGACGAAACGCCGGTTCCCGGGGAACGGGCGGGGACTTCTGGGGACACCGTCTTGAAAACCAACAGGACGTCGCATGCCTGGGAATGAAGGACGGGGGAGGAGGGGAGGAGGGGGGCAAGGAGGAGGAGGAGGAGGAGGAGGAAGAGGAGGAAGAGGAGGAGCTTTCCCAGCCACGGCGAGCCTCAGCAACGACAAAGCTCCCCGACCTGGACCTCAGGAGCAGCCCGAAAACCAGGGCGCCTCCCGAGCCCGAAGGGGTCCTCGACTGCATGGGGGCCGCGGAGAGGCCAGGCCTGTGCGTAGGAAGGCTTCGGGTTGCGCACCCCCCCGAGCCGTCCCAGCAACCCCCACAAATAGTCTTAGGTCGGGCATGTCCGCCTATATGCGGATTTGGGGCGATTTGTTGTTATCAAGGGGAAAAGCAAAACATCCAAAAATACTCCGAAATAGCTCCAAATAGCAGAAACATCGTCCCCATAATATTCTTAAGCTATCTTTGAATATTCCTCCTGTAGAGGGACGGGACCGACTTACGGTGGTTCCAGCTGGCCTCAACAGGCCCCTCGTCGAGTCGCCGGGGGGCGGTCTCAGCGGCTCCACCCCAGGGCGCACAGCGCCCCAAAGGAGATCGTCGGAGGCGGCGCCGGGGGGTCGAAGCCGCCCCGGACTGCTCGGGGAGCCTGTTGAGGCCAGCCGGGACTACCTCGGGGGGCTGCCGGGGCCAGCCGGGACTACCTCGGGGGGGGTGCTGAAGCCGGCTGGGACTGCGAGGCCAGCCGGAACTACAGTCAACTACGGATGCACTTCCAATCTCACCAACAACCATATACCCAACAATACACACAAACACACACAAACACACACACACATACACACACACAAACACACACTCAAACACACACACAAACACACACACACACCCACAAACACACACACACGAACACACACTTCATATCCTGTTACAGTAAATTGTTTCCGCAACATACTGCAACTGTCGGTTGTTTTTCAGTTGTTTGACGTTGGCCGTTGTTATCATTTTTGCAAGGGCCTTGGAGGGCCATGGAGACTTTGTTCGAACGAGGTTGGCCAGCGAAAGTCGCCAAGGATGGGCCGAAGGGGCACGGATGCAACGGTACCCTTGGGGAGGTTGCCCATCGTTACCATGCGGGTTGACTGTGCCTGAGAGTAGGGGCTGTCCGCGCGCAAGTCGCAGCCATACCAGTGCGCGCAAGACTCTGCTCTTAGGGGGGAGGGCATCCTGGCGACGGGCCACCCACACGCGCGGCCGATCCCTGCCCACTCCGGCCCGCCCGTCGCCAAGGGCCCCGCGGCGCCGTCCTCCTCGAGGAGGTCCTTCGCCTCCCCGCTGTCCTGGCCGTGGTCGTGGTCGTGGTCGTGGTCGTCGTCGTCGCGGTCGTCGTCGCGGTCGTCGTCGTCGCCGCCGTCGTCGCGGTCGTCGTCGACTTCGTCATCGTCGTCGCAGTCGCAGTCGCCATCGCCGACCGCTGGTTCCGTGGGACGAGTCGTCGCCGTATTGGGCTCCTCCTCCTCCTCCTCATCATCATCATCACCACCACCGCCATCATCATCATCATCATCATCATCATCATCATCATCATCATCATCATCATCATCATCATCATCATCATCATCATCATCATCATCATCATCAACGTCATCAACGTCATCAACGTCATCATCAGCAGCATCATAATCATAACCATCATCAGTATCAACATCACCATCATCATCGTCGTCGTTATCATCATCACCATCATCAGTATCATCATCACCATCATCATCACCATAATCACCAGCATCACCAGCATCATCATTATCACCATCATCAGCAGCAGCAGCAGCATCATCACCATCATCATCATCATCATCATCATCATCATCAGCATCATCATCATCATCATCATCATCACCACCACCGCCATCATCATCATCATCATCATCATCATCATCATCATCATCATCATCATCATCATCATCATCATCATCATCATCATCATCATCATTGCAGCACCAGCAGGCACGACCTATCCCATCCAATCAGCGAGTGGCCAGTTTTATTTCACATCCCTCCCCCTGAGCTCGCCGAGCGACGCGACGAAGAAGAAGCGCGGCGCGACGAACTTCCCAGGGAGGCCAGAAACGCCGACCTGGTCGAACGGGATGGCGGCGATGATACATGCACACCCCGCACAGCACCAGGCCCTTCAACTCTGATGCAGCTGGCGTCGGCGGCACGACGGCCGTGGGAGTGGGCCCCACCGCGGGCCCAGATACAGTCTTCCAGTCCACCAGCGGCCCCGTCGCGACTGCGGCCGGGGGCACCTGGCCACGCAAGGCTTCCGTGTCGCGCAGGAGCCGATCCCGTGCCTTGCTGGTCTGCCACCCAGCAACGGCTTTGCTGGGAGCAGCATCCTCCGCGCGGGCGCCCTCCAGCTGCAGGTCGGCCTGGGAGGCGCCCACGCGGCTCGCAAGCGCCATGCGCACGAACGGCCGCGCGACCACGGGGCGCCTGCGGCCGAGCGCCAGTGCGGGCACGCTGACCCACTGCCCGTAGCTCTTCTCCTTGAACGTTTCCTCGGGAGGGGGCTCCTCGGCCCTGCCGCCCTCGCCCCCAGAGCTCACCACCGCGGGGGGGGGGGGACCCCGTGGCTGGCAGCCGCAGCGGCAGCCTCGGCTGGGCAGTGATCCCCCGTATGGGGCCCATTCACCTGTGGCAGCGCAGGCCCGCCCACGCACAGCGCCTCGTCGACGCCTTGCACCGCCCGCTCGCAGCACGAAACACCACGGCACCGCACGTGCATAGGAAGCCAGGCGTGGGCGGCAGCGCAACCCAGCGGCCCGCGGCGGGCACGAAGGCCTCGGCGTCGGCGCGCAACGCCGTCGGCCTGGACGCCGCCGCAGCAGCCGCCACGGAGGGCCCAGTGGCCTACCCGCCCGAGCCAGCGGCCTTCTCCAGCCTGGGGCCCTTCTCGGCGATCCGCAGCTCCTTGACCAAGGCGGTGAGCACAGAGATCCCGTCCGCCTTCGCGTGCAGAGCTAAGTTGCGGCGCAAGGTGTCGGCACCACAGCTACGACTGATGCGCACCTTCGCCTGCAAGTCCGGCACGACCGCGAGGATCCGCTCGACGATCTCAGGCCCCGCATCAAAGAGCTTTGCAAGCATGTCGATCACCTGCGAATGCTGGTGACGGCAAGCCTGCAACTCGTCCTTCAACTTGAACACCAACCGGTCTGCGGAGGCGCGCGCACCCGCCGCGCCCCGCTGTACCCCTCGAAGGGGGTCTCCCGCAGCCACCATGCTCGCACCGCCGGGTGCCTCAGGGGGTTCGAGACAACTTGAGCCCAAATAGCTACGGACTCATCATCATCATCATCATCATCATCATCATCATCATCATCATCATCATCATCATCATCATCATCATCATCAGCGTTCTCCTCCTCGTTTTCATGCTTCTTCATCCTCTTGCCCCTCCTCCTCTTCCTCCTCCTCTTCCTCCTTGCCCGATGACGCCACTGACGGAAGAGGATCAGCCGGATAATGCGACGACGAGGTGGACAAGGAAGAGCGAGAGGGAGCAAGAGAGCGTGAGAAAGAAGAGGATGGAGGAGGAGGGGGGAGAGGAGAAGGATCAGGAGGAGAAGAAAGAGCAAGCGAGCGAAACCCTGGGACCCTGTGTCCACTGCAATCCGAGGCCCTCTGCGAGCGCAGACCCGCGTCGGGCATCAAGACACTCAAAAACAGGATCTGGGTGGCCTTCAAAGGCGTGCTGTCGGTCAAGTCGCCCTGCTGGCGGGATGCGCACAAGCCAAGAGCCGCCCCACAAGCGGGGTGAGGAGGAGGAGGAGGAGGAGGAGGAGGAGGAGGAGGAGGAGGAGGAGGAGGAGGAGGAGGAGGAGGAGGAGGAGGAGAGGGGTGAGGGGTGAGGAAGGAAGAAGGCCCCCCCCTGCCCGCATACCAGGGCACCCTGCTTTTCAAAATCTGGATCTAATCTTAGCGCTGCACACATTCGTCTTGAAAGTTTGCAACAGCGTCACGAATGGAGGGCGTGTAGTTTTCGATACGTGGTCCTCGCTTCGGCGCCGCGCACATTCGTCTTGAAAACTTGCAGCCATGACAAGGATCTGCACATTTAAAGTCCCAGGAATAATGTTTTGTCACGAGTCAGGACTGCCAGGGCGCAGAAGTCACGTTGACTCGCGGTGTTGAGAGGTCCTGGGAACGGTGCTCTGGCACGATCTAGACTTGTCAAGACGCAAGAGACACGTTGACTCGCGGCGCTGAAGTCATGAGGGGGTCCGCCCCGACCAGATCTCCCCCGTGCGGCGGCAACCGGCCCGTCGTGGACAGATGCGCAAAAACGATATGTTGCCGCACGGACCACTTAAGAAATCAATCGAATGAGTTGTGCGACGTGCGATGGGCGCGCTGTGGACAGCTCGCTTCACGCAGGTGTGAAGCGAAATGTTGTTGGTGCGACGGCACAAACCACGCAGGTGGGTCAACGGTGCGACAGCGACCGCGGGGCCGCGACAAATGGGCCCTTTACTGAATTCCGAAACTCTCTGCGCGCTGCGACAGCGACGGGGGGGCCAGACAGATGGCCAGCGCGTAACTGCACATGATGGCTAGGCCAACGGTGCGACAGCGACCGGCGGGGCCGCCACAGACACACAGCATTTTGCCCCACACGCCCCGCGCGGCGCGACGTCGACGGAGGTTGGTCTCACAGATGGACCCAGCACGCGGTGGACCTACCAGAAGTGCGGCAGCCAGCGGCGGTCCCGTGACAGAGCAGCGTGACCAGGGCCCCCCGAGGTCTCAAAGGCACCAGAACCACGGCCACCAAGACCACCGCGGCCGCCGCGGCCACCACGGCCACCACGGGCACCGCGGCCGCCACGGTGGCCACAGCCACTACGACGGCCAACACGGCCAGGACGGCCACCAAAGCCGCCACGGACGCCCTAACGAGTCCACTGGAGCTCTGAAGGCCCTCGAGGGGCCCCCTCGAAGGCCCCAGAACGCCCCTAAAAGCACCCAGGATCGCCCCAAGGGCGCCCCAAGAAGCTCCACTGCCCCGAAGAGGGCCCAAGAGAGCCCCAAGAGTGCCTCAAGAGAGCCCAACGACCCCCAGAGAGAAACTCCAAGATGACACCGACCCACCCCCCAAAAAAGCCCCAGGAGAGTCCCAATAATACCCCAAGATGGCTCCACGAGGCGTTCAATGACCAAGGGGCTCTCGCGACGACAACGACGACGAGCGACGAAAACGACGAGGACTGATGACGCCTGATGACCCAAGGGCTCTCACGACGACAACGACGACGACGACGACTGACGACGACGACCGACGACGACTGACGACGACGACGACGACCGACAGCGACTACGACGACGACGACGACGACCGACAACGAAGGCGACGACCGAGGACGACAGGCGACGAAGACGAATGACGACGACGGCGACGACGACGAGGACGCCCCCGACCACGACCACGACGAGCCAGCCAACCAACAACGCAGCCAACAGACAGCAAGGCAACCGTTCAGCCCACCAGACAGCGGCACGTGTTGCGGCGTACTGTACTTCACCCACCTGGTCAAACCCGCTCCTACGCCCCTCCTCCTTCTCCTCCTCCTCCTCCTCCTCGTCCTCCTCCTCGTCCTCCTCCTCCTCCTCCTCTTCCTCCTCCTCCTCCTCCTCCTCCTCGTCCTCCTCCTCGTCCTCCTCCTCCTCCTCCTCTTCCTCCTCCTCCTCCTCCTCCTCCTCCTCGTCCTCCTCGTCCTCCTCCTCCTCCTCCTCCTCCTCCTCCTCTTCGTCCTCCTTTCCTTCTTCTCCCTTCATTTTTGAACGTTGGCTTCCAAGATGGCCCCCGGAGGCCCACCAGGGCCACCAACGGGGCCGCCTTCGGTGGAGCTCCCTATCGGGCCACGATCCTCGCGAGGGGTGCGCCGAAATGGCCCGAGGCCCCCATGCGAACCCTGCCGCTGGCGCCTCCGGTGGAGCTCCTATGGGGCCACGATCCTCGTGCGGGGTGTGCCGAAATGGCCCGAGGCCGCCATGAGAACCCTGCCACTGGGACCTTCAGTGGAGCTCCGTATGGGGCCACGATCCTCGTGAGGGGTGTGCCGAAATGGCCTGAGGCCGCCATGCGAACCCTGCCGCTGGCGCCTTCGGTGGAGCTCCTATGGGGCCACGATCCTCGTGAGGAGTGTGCCGAAATCGGCCCGAGGCCGCAATGCGTTCCTTGCTACTGGCGCCTTCGGTGGAGCTCCGATGGGGCCACGATCCTCGTGAGGGGTGTGCCGAAATGGCCCGAGGCCGCCATGCGCACTTCACTACTGGCGCCTTCGGTGGAGCTCCTATGGGGCCACGATCCTCGTGAGCAGTGTGCCGAAATGGCCCGAGGCCGCAATGCGCTCCTTGCTACTGGCGCCTTCGGTGGAGCTCCTATGGGGCCGCGATCCTCGTGAGGGGTGTGCCGAAATGGCCCGAGGCCGCCATGCGCACTTTGCTACTGGCGCCTTCGGTGGAGCTTCTATGGGGCCTTGATCCTCGTGAGGGTGATGATGATGATGATGATGACGATGATGATGATGATGATGATGATGACGATGATGATGATGATGATGATGATGCTGATGCTGATGGTGATAATAATAATAATAATAATACTGCCTGTAACATTGCGGCGCAACGCCACGGTCTAGCGACAGAGGCGCGACGCCGCGTGTGCAAAGCGGCCTGTCAGGTCACTGAGTTCATGATGATGTCGTAGTTGCATAAGCCGGAGGGCGTCGCTGAGGTGCGAGTGCTTCATCTTGTAGTACGTCTCAAATGCGATGAAGGTCGTGTTTAATTCCTTTGAGATCTTCGCATCCAGGGCGGATGTATCGAACCACCTGCGTGGTGGAAGCTTCCCGACAAGGCTGAAAACGGTGGACCAGAGCGAGAAACAGTCAGCATAATGAGTCCACTCGCCCCGGGCGGAACACCCGAGGAGGCACGGGTGAACGACTGCCTCGTGGAGTCTCGCCGACGTCGTCCATCCCCCCATCCACGTCTTGAAGCAAGAGCTGACGATCCGAATATGGCTCCTCTTCATGATGTTCAGGAGGCTCGTGAAGTCGATGCAGTCGACGTCGTCGAGGACGTCGGGCCAGTGCAGGCGGAGGCGAACTTTGAGTGCGTCGCCTGGGGTGGATTTGAATCTCTTCATTACTCGAGCGGTAAGCGGAGCGCTGCAAGCCGGAGGACTGCCATCGAAGAAGATGCAGCGAACTAGGGCCCAGCAAAGCCCGACGGAACCCGACAGGGCTCGCCTGCGGAGCCTGGCGGCGCCCAGCGGCTCAGAGACCACAGTCTTCTGGACCGCATTGATGGCGGCGTTCGTGGCCTCGTGGAGTTGCTCGGAGGTGCCGACCGCCTGCTTGGTGACGACGCGCTCGAGGGTCCAAGCTATAGCAGGAGATTTCCAGTGCTGCGCCCAAGGCTCCTCACGCGCTAGTGACCAATGCTGCGCTCAAGAGCAGCCTCGTGGTCGGCGGCGCGCAAGAGGTCCGACGGGGTCTTCCAATCGATGGTCAGGCTGGCTGCCCGGACCAGAGCAGACACACAAGCAGCAGAGGCCGAGATCGCGTCGATCGCGCCAAACTGCGAGGCGCGGGCCAAGCCGCGCACAGTGAATGTGGACGGCGGGACGTGCCAGAGCTTGTTGCTGATGGCTTTCTCAACCTGGATGATCGCCCTGGGACGGAGGCAGAACTGCGCGATGTAAAGCAACGTGGGAATGGCCTTCGTGTTGTACTCTTTTATCGTGACTGTGGTGGATCCCTTCGCGTGCGCTGTGGCGTCGGCGCGTTGCTGCCATTTTTGCATGCAAGGGTTCCACATCTCGTCAACGACATTGGGGTCCATGGCGTAGCCGAGGTAAGTGGCGAACTTCACGATGCCGAACTGGCCCCAGTCGGGAACTATAGCCTTCAGGGCGTCGCGAATCACCTCAACCACGTGGCAGGAGAACGACGCGCACAGCGGAATCAACAAGCATTTCTTGGGCTTCAGGCGGAGGCCAGCACACGACTGCACGAGAGCAAGGGTGTCGGCGCACTCCCGGAGGGTGCTCAGGTGCGCCATGGCCGCGCCGACGTCATCGGCGCAAATTCGCGCGGTGCCTAAACCGCGCAGGTCCACCATGTGCTTCATGCGCTCGGCGAAAGGGCGCGTGGAGACGACGTTCACGAAACCGGTGAGAGGGCAGCCCTGGAGGGACCCCCTCGAAAAAGAGGGCA